ACTGGTAAAAGTTTCTTCCACTATTTTTAAGTTGAATCCTCTCTACAGATTCTTCTCTTCACCTGCATTCACTGTTATTTACACAGAACCGTCAAATTTTTTTGTTTCTTAAGAGAAATTGTCAGGCTTGTTTAGGGTTTTGCGGTCTTTGGAGGTTTAACTTCACTATCTAACCCTAATCTTTTTTTAAATTTCTTGGTTAATTCTATTTTTGGGTTACATGAATAGTTTTTTAAAGCTCTTTATGCTGGAAAAATAAAAAAAATTTAAGCTTTAAAGTAAAACATTCTTATGAATCGAAAAGGGAAGCAATTTGGAAATGTAGCTATCTTCTGTTGGAAATTCTTTAAAACTTTACTCGTATCATCTGGTTTGGTTTTCTGGTGGGATTTCAAATAACAAACAGACAAACAGACAAACAAACGTGCAAATGTAAAAAATAAAGTTCAGATTTTGGGAGAATGGGTGTCCATTTACGATTATGAGAAAAGTGAAAATTGGGACATATAAAATTATTTAAATATCCGTAATGAATCTTTCTTGTATGTTGATTCATTAAGTGTATTTAATTAATTTCATAGGGAGTTCTGGCATTTTAATTGCCAGTACGTCTTGATTTTCTGCAATTCCATCTACAATTGTAACTTTGAGGCCTTTTATTTTATTTTAGTTTATTTTTTACCCTTTCCCCTTTTTCACAGATGCTGTTAATCAATGTGAGTTTCCTAATACTGTTTTAATGTTTGAGCATGTTATTGACTTAGCAAAGTTAGAAACTTTAATATAGATATAGATTTCTATCTTAACCATGTACACTGCAGTTGCCATGACTTCTTTTGGTGAAATTTTGAATGCAAAGCTTACATTTTATTTTCATAAATGTTAAAACATGATTAGCTTTAATGCTTGTTTATTTGCAAGTGTTGATAAATAAGGATTCGAGGGCAGTGGTTCTCAAATATATGTAAAGACATGGGTAAATCACAGGTTTGTTCAACTGAGGATGCTGTTCATGCACTGCTTGATTACTTGGTTGAACCTCTGCTAGCACCAGCTGAATCTACAAAGCAAAGGACTCCATCAGAATCTCGACAACTATCAGTTGCAAAACAGGTTCTTTTCTTGCTCTGTGTTGACTAAAGAGCTATCGTTGTTATCACTATACATGATACCCTTTTGAAGTGAAATGCATCATTGAAATTTTCCCTTGTCTTATGTGCTCTTCTTCTTAAATAACTTATGGGCTCAATATGTTGACATTACTATTCTTCAGAGTGTAGTAAATATTCAATTTACCATTTGTTTCATCCTCTTTAGAAACCATCAAACTAGATGATTGCTTTATTTTTTCATTTTTGATTATCCATTATTTCAAAGACACTAAAAAATCTTAGAACATGGGACAACTCCTAACTTGTTGTGGAGTAGAATGTCCCTCCAAGCTCCAACTTGGACCTTGACTCAAATTCCTTGTCCAATCTAAAATTTAGAAAGTTAGACTCACAATAATAGAAAAATCAGTGTTGCAGATGGTGTTGCTCCACTGCCTAGCACCTAGGGCAGCTGCTAAGAGTTGTGTAACTTTTGTAGCTTTGATTCAAATTGCTGTTTCTATTTTTTAAAATTTTTTCCAATTTTTCTGAATTTTCCTGAATTTTTTAGTTTTTTATTATGTTCTATTTTAAAAGTGGCAGACAATTCCCTTGAGGTGGTCTGAGTGCTGGGTGGAGCCTCAGGCTGCTCAGTACCTTTGGCAAAGCTGGGAAAGGAGTAGAACCCATCACCTGCAATTCACTTCTTTCGAACTTAAAATAAAACACATCAAATTTCAGTGGTCATGGTTTTAATTCATCATCAAAATTTAATGGGAAACTCAACAAATTAAACTGCTCTTAAATGTTAAGAGACATTTTAAAGGTTTACCCTTTTGTAAATTTATAGATTGTTGTTATTATATTTTAATTTAATAATTATGCATGGATACTTAAAGATGCATGCAAATATGTTCTTAATTCTATACTTTTGTTTGTATGTGAATGTACATTTTTGTCCATGCCCACGCACATGTATGCATGTATTAGTGAATATGTCAGAATAATATTTCTAGCATGTTGTTTGTTTTGGTTTAGGAAGATTAATCTTTCCATTGAATGAACCAAAATGATATGATAAGGTGGTTTTGGTTCAGATTCTTTTTTCTTTGTGAGAACATAGGAAATTTTTGGGGAGGGGGTAAGGTGGTTCAAATGGTCAAATACTAGCATCAATCCTCCTTATCCTGCAAAGGGTTGCTGGCCTGAGTTAAACTTAGGACATGAGAATCACCAGGCTTTAAGCTTGGGACATGAACCATTGGGCCACAAGGGCTACACAATCCTAACTGGGTGTTCATTTTTGCTTGTATTATTTGCTGTTTGCTCTACATTATGTGGTGTTATGCTGTAAGTATTACTGCTCTTTGACCATGCAGACTCTAATTTATTTTTCTCAAATGTTTCTCAAATCATTCACTTGTTATATATTTAATGAAAGTTGAAATTTGCATATAATTTGATTAAACTCTTTAGATTCGCCTTTTGAACTGGATTTATTCATAGAGAATACCATTATAGGTTAAAGTTTGAGGTCTAATAATATAATATCTAGAAGTTTGGTGAGAAACCAATTAGAATATCATGAGATTCTCCATTCCGCATTGATGTCTTGAGTCACCATGTTTCATGATGCGTTGACAGATGTTCCAATGATGAAAGAATGGCCAATTTCAAAAGTTTCTGATCTTTTAGTTGATTCAAGGAAGGAGAATTGCTTCATGATGTTTGGTAGCATTACTAAGGGTGTATGGTCAAAATTGAAAAAGATGTGAATTTGTCTAGTCACTCTCCAGAAGGTAAATTGGAGGCAACACATACAAACAAAAGAAAAAGAGTTACTAAGAGACCTTTGACAGATCCAGTGGGTGATGATAAAATGGGCTTTCAAAAAGTTGCATTCTTAGCAGTTGAGGAAACAACAGGTATGGTTATCTTCTCAATACTTTGTTAAATGTGTTGCAGTTGGTGGCAGAGATTCTTAACATAAATAGTTTCATTTTAAAGTCTGCCATGTAGTTTGGTAGGACATCATAGGTTCTACTTTTCTTTCAAGTCAATAATATTACTCATAAATAAAATTTTTAATTAATGAATGTAAAAGATATTTTAAAAAATACATTATAAACAAATACTCCCTCCAAATTTAGTTGGCCTAATTCTATTCTCAAATAAAATAGGGATGTAATAATTAATTGATGACATTTCATATTTATCTTTAACCATCATTTAAATAAGCATTTTTTTTAATAATTTTCTTATTAAATGAAGGATAAAATAGGAATAAATGCATTAAATGACATTCTAAAAAGGAAAAAGGAAAAATGGAATGGACAACTAATTTTAAAAGTTCAAATATTAAGTCAACTAAAGCTGAATGTAGGGAATATGTCACTTTTGTATTAATTGAAATTCTTTGAGACTTACACGGTAGAATATTTCATCAATCTTTACTTTAACTACTCTTATCCTTACATTAATAGAAATACTATAACTATATACTCCAAAAATTATATTTCTCATGTTGGAAAAGAAATTTGAAATGGAATAATAATTAAAATTAAACAATAATAGATATTATAAAATTTATCAATTTATTTTATAAACATTTGTCTTTTTAATTGGGTCTCAACCTCTTTATTGAGTTTTCTAAAGTTTTTTTTTT